ATCACCTGAGGTTAACACCTGGCCTCAACATGCACACATATATGAAGATCTGTGCATACAATTCAGAGACAAATCCTCCTAGTTTAGATCCCACAGAAGCAAACCCCCCCCCCCCAATTGGGCTGAAACTCAGGAAGCTGGCTTACTGCAGAGTTCTGGAGTCCACTGACAATCTGCTCAAAACGGGATTGAGGGCCAGGGATCCAATGCCCAGCACTGTAAGAAACTTGGCCACGGCGAATTACCAGTTATCTTAGCACTTGGGAGTAGAGCTGGAAGGCCAGAAGGTCAAGGTCATCTTCAGGCATTTACTGGGGTTAAGGTCAAACTGCCTTTAAATTTAAAAAAGGAATGGACAAGGAGATGTGTTTAGTCTGAGTAAAGTTCCTAATAGGTGCTGGCTGCCTCTGCCTTGAGGTACACTATCGGGGCAATCCAAGGTACACTGCAGTTTTAAACTCTAAAAGCATTTATTCATTAAATACCATGTGCATGATGATAAACACAACCAAAGTTATACTTCTTACGTATGTGCACCTCAGTGTATTCCCAAAAGACTAGATCCTGGGAAGGAGGTTGCTAGAAAAATGGCCCAGCAGTTATAAGAGTGCTTGGTGCTCTCCCAAACCTGAGTTCGGTTCCCAGCACTCACAAGTGGCTCACAAGCCACCTTAACTGATACCCTCCCTGGCTTCCACAGGCACATGCACACATGTGGCACATACATGGACATGCATTTTAAGATTGTATATTTTTACAGACCCTTACTGTGTAGCTCCTTCCACATTTGCTGGCAGTAATCAATTATGGTTGGATTTTAAAACATAAAAACAAATCCATGGCATGTTGAAACACTCCAGGCACTCTTCTCTCTGTTCAATGTTGAGTGTATGAGTGTAGACAACTACAGGAGTCCTAACTGTGAGGAGCAAAAGGCACATTACATACATATTTTTATGCACACGTATCAATGTGATTATCCATGGCCGGACCTGGTGAGACAGGACTATACCCAGATACTCAGGAGCCTGAGGAACCATTTCAGGTTCAAGGGCACTCAACCCCAGAAAACCACTGCATTATAGGGCTACGAGGAATACTAACTTCAAACTAATTTGTTTTGTTTTTGTCTTTCAGGTCAGGGTTTCTCCGTGTAACAGTTCTAGCTGTTCTGGAACTCTCTTTTGTAAACCAGGCTGGTCTGGAATTCACACATGCCTGCTTACCTCTAGAGTGCTGGGAATAAAGGTGTGCTCAAATTAAAGATTTTTTTTGTTTTCTTTTTTCTTGAGACAGGGTTTCTCTGTGTAGCTTTGGAGCCTATTCTGGCACTCACTCTGTAGATCTGCCTGCCTCTGCCTTCTGGGTGCTGGGAGTAAAGGCGTCGGCCACTGATGGGGAAGTCCTGTGAATGTGCTTATCTTATTGGTTGTTGAATAAAGCACTGTTGCCCAATAGGGAAGCAAGATAGGTGGGACTAGGAGTCGAGAAGGATTCTGGGAAAGAGAGGCATAGGCAGTCACATGTGGACTCTTCCTCTGGTAAGAGAGAACCACATGGAAATACTCAGATTAGCAGTTATGGGTTATTTAAGTCAGAGCTAGCCGATAAGAAACCAATCAAACGGCCAACAGCTTCATAACTAATATAGTGTCTTGTGTGTTATTTAGGGACTAAAAGAGGTAGAGGGACTCAGGCAGCGAGCAGGAAGAACACACATTACAGGCCACCACCGCCTGGCTCAAACTACTGATCCTATTGGTGAAAACCTAGTTAATCTGAGTGCAGAGGCACACACCTATCAGCAGCGGTGACAGCAGACAAGCAGGAGAATACCTTTGAGTTCAAAGCCGACTTAATCTACCCTGGAGCTCCAGGCTACCCAGACCTACACAGTGAGACCCTGCATAATACACTGCCCTCATCACCCCCCCAACATTAGTTAGGAAGACATACTACTTTCCTGGAATTGTACCATTCACTCTTTCTCCTAAACCCACAAGGAAGGACAATTGGCTGTAGCCACACAACACTGACACCCATCATCCTAAGGGGAAAGAACAGCAACCCAAATGCTCTGTAAAAATAAAGCTGGGTTACCTCGTGCATTTATCTCCTACCCCACACATTTATGTCTTCCTAATCCTGGCATGCGTGATCTCGTGATATGGCCTTGTTAGCTCTTAGAAACGTCACACGACTAAAACATAACTTTCATCTTATAGTTGAGAGAACAGGAGCACAGAAAGATTAAAAGCTAAACTTGATCATTGCTGCCAGAACCAGAAATGTCAGATACCTTGGGGTCTACAGCCAAGGCCACCCTCTCCCTCACACTCTAAAAACCTGGATCCTCACTCTGTTGCTCCAGCACAAATGAACCATTCGTGGCTGTCACACACAGGAGTCAGGTGTCATTTAGATTAGGCTGTGGCATCTCTCTCATGTCCTTCACAATGGGGCCAAGATTATCTAACAACCGTGACTGCCATCAACTTCGTGGATTGACAGGTCTGTGAGGCAGTAACCATAGCTTCCTTCTTTCCCAGGATGCAGTGCGCTGGGCCCTCATCTCAGTCCAACAGGTATCCATTGAGAGTTGAGTGCAAGTAAATGTTATTGTATAATCAAATCAGAGAACACGCTTCCTGCAGAGATGACAAGGGACACCTTCCAGGCTAACCATGTGACAGCACTGACAAACAGCAGCATTGTTGCCAGTCCCTCACAGCCAAGGACACAAGCCCTCTGGGCTTTTCCAACCCCAAAGCTCTAAGTCGCCCGCCACCTCCAACTGACAGGAAGTTAAACAGATCAACACTGTACAACAGACAGAACTGGACCCACCAGTCCACCTCACCCAGGCACTGTGGTGTGGTTCTCAGAGAACGGCAACCCTGGACAGGACATGGAAAATCACAGTTCCCAGAGGGAAGGCTAGTGGATGACAAGGTCAGCTGAGTTAGAGTGGCAGGCAGTTCGCCAGTGCCCCTGCCATAAAAGAGGAGCTATATAAAGAGAAAGCATGCGAACTTTAATTTTCTCAAGAAAACACTATTATCTGATTTTCAAAACAACAGCTTTTGGGTTGATTGGGGGGGGGCGGCAGGGCTATTGGGGGAGCACCTGAAACTCACTATGTAGCTTAGGCTGGCCTCAAACTTGTGGTCATTCTCCTGCCTCATCTCACCACCACCCCACCACACCATCGACCCCGTGCTGGGCAATACAGGTGTTGAGGTACCACACCCGGCTTCAAGTTTGTTGTGCAAGGAGCAGCCCTAGTAATTTTGATTGTGCCATGGAGATTATCTGCCCGCTTCAAAGTTCTGTTCTGTTTGAATGGAAAGGAAATGAGCAGTGTGGCTCCACAGTCAAGCTCTTTGGACATGCGCCTGTAACTTCTGGACCCCTGGGACGGCTTGTGTGCTCCCCTCTGCAACTTCCTGCAGGCCTTGGTAAGCAGGCTGTCTGTCTGTCTGGTCCCTAGCCACCTGGTCCATAGGTTTGAGTTCTAATAAAAGCAGTCAGCTTCAAGATGAAAGGCTGAAGCCTGGCTGGTTTGTCACCAGGGTGACACTTTAGTGATGCTGCGACCCAAGATAGCATGTTTCTTTTGTTCACAAGACACAAGGCATTCTATAAGTATTCTTTGTCAATGCCCTACCGAGGGAACTTCAAGACACAAAGATGAATGTAAATGTTTTCAGAATTCAGGCAGCAAGATTCAAAGTTCAACTTACTCACCCACTTATTTTACTAAATTAAGTATATGTTACCACAAAGAACTGGTCTAAAAGAGTCAAGATGAATTATGTGAGGGATGTCTTTACAGCCTCCTGGAACGCAACTGTTCTCTGAAGACACAATTCTATTTAGATTTCCTTCCTCAATATTCAAGTTACCTAGGACATGAAAAAGTAAAATAATCTACCCCCGTTTTGACTTTCTTCTCTGACTCCATAAAAAGCTTTGTGTTTGGCAGTGGTAGGGGATGAAACCATTACCTATGGTTTCCATGGTCGGCACCAGTTTCCTTAAGCTCACTGGGCCCCACATAATTAGCTTCCAGGAGGATCTAATTGACCTTGATGTGCACATGACACAGGGCGAGCAGGGAGCCCACATGCCTTTTAGGGCAGTGCTGGAGAAGCAGGCAGGGGGTCAGAACTCTGTGCTGTGGGGAGAAGATCAAAAACCACGAGACAGAATATTCCAGATAACTGGAATATTCTGGACTTCTGAGAGTGCCCTGCCATAGTCAATCGCACACGGCTCTGTAATGAGAGGAAAAATTAAAGCCCATCTCATGCCTCACTTCCGCCACTGATGGAGCATGAGAAAGAAGATGAAGTCAGCCTTTCAAAGTCATCCGCTCAAAGGCAGAAGCCACAGTCTGCACAGTTAAGGGCATAAGCTCATCCACGTGGGGTAAAAATCTCGTTCAACAATTAGCCAGTGGCCTCACATAAATAATTCAAAACAGGAAACCTAAACTTCTCTAAGTCTTTACTGATCTTAGAATGCTAAACTCTGACTGCTCCCATCTACCAATTCTCTGGGTGTCTGTCCTCCTGCAGGTCTCAAAAATGGGACAGCTGGCTCCCCAACATCTCCATCTTCTATGTTTAATATTGTTCCAAAGCCAAAGAAGTGACGTCCTTCAGCAGAGAACCAGAAGCTCCTTCCAAGGATCGGGGAAGGGAAGGCAGTAAGGGCACACACACAATGGCCGATGGTGTGTCAAGGAAACCCAGAAAACAGAGACCTATCTGGAAGGTGTGGTCCTGTTTAAGCTGAACCATTTTTTTTAGGATGGCCATTCATCAACAAGAGTGCCATCCTCAGGATTTAGGTAGGAAGAATGGGCTATTGCATCACCAAAATGGCACATAGGAACCAGCTAGCATGGCACCCCACAGAGTTACCCCACACGCAGCCCGTAACAATTCATTGCTGTTACCGTTGTTGTTTCCCCAATGAAAAGTCGATCAACTTACATGGCTCTCTGGCAATGAACTGAGGTACAGTGTTGGGCAAAGGAGTACTGGGGTTTGGAGTCCCTACGAGTTTGTTCTTGGCCATCTTCGTGTTCGCCTTAGCAAACTCTAGTCGTAGTGTTTGCGGGATTTCAGGGTCGAAGCGGATGCCCTTTGGGAAAAAGAACAAACGGGAGATGTAAACCAGAATGGTGACAAAATAAACACACACGTAAACTCTGGCCTAACAGGGAACAAGGTCAGCAAGGGTTCTTATTCTCAGTATTTTACAAAGAACACGCAAAACACACACTATGATGTGACCAGAAAGCCGGGCAAACTAGCTAGAGCCACCAAAATGAATCTTCAGTTACATGGATGGGCAAACATTCCCTGTTCTTCATGAACATTGTCTAATCTGCCTTTTAAAATGCAGACCAAAAAATTCATAACACACAGTTTAAAAACTTTGACTAGCAGCTGCCACTGAGATTGGAAAATATGACTTCGACCCAGAGAGTGACGTGCTAGGCATGCTGGAGTTTGACACCTGAAATCCTGAGCAGGCTGCACTCTGGATGACATTATAAACAGTGAGATTCTCCAGTACTTTTAGTGTCGTTACCTATAAATAGAGGGAAAGAACTCTGTCTCCAACTCAGTTTTACAAAGGTAAAACAAGTTCCTGCATACTCAGAACATTGGAATTAAACAGCTGCGATACTAGAATGTAACTACTATCATTTAGTTCTAGTTAATGCATGAATTTGCTATGCTTGAAGTGGTGAAATCCTGACTTCTTTTACGGCTGATTTACAAGGTATGAGGAAAACAAAAGACTCCACAGGCCTGAGACGAAAGTAACTTTAGTCTCTCATCCCTATCACTGCAGTTGGGCCTTTAAAAACCAACCAACCAAACAACCAACCAACCATGTTTTGGCCTGAGCATGGTGGAATACACCTTTAAAGGCCAGCCTGGTCTACAGAGTAAGTTCCAGGCCAGCCAGGTATACACAGAGAGACCCTGTCTTGAAAAAACAACAACAAGAAAAATCATGTTTCAATAAAACATACCCCAGACATTCTAAACTACAAGATTTATATCAAGTAGATTTCAGGGCTTTCTCACTCAGGAATGTCTCTATTATCAAGCAAAACTAAGAGCCTAATGAAAACCATCCAATGTCAGGAATCCTAGACATTACCAAGTGTCAAAAAGGCAACCCAGATTCCGAGCCCACCTTTCCTTCAGTGGGGTATACTGAGAACACAGACTCTTCATTTATGAGGCCTGATGGTCTCTCACATCCCTTCTTTTCTGTTAAAGCTTATCTTTTGAGACCCTCGTATAATGGTACTGTAAGTACCCCATCCCCTGCACCACCCCCCACCTCCCTTCACTGTAAGAAAAGTTAGGGCTGTTTCTACGAGAACTTAGAATCTCTGTAGACCACAGAGAACGACTCTGAACCTCACAGGGTCAGTTCCAAAGGCATCAGGAAGAACCAGTGGATGATATTAACGAAGACGGGGCAGCTTTGGGCAAACAACAGTCCTGGCCTAGAGATACCCCGGAGTGTAAAGAACTTATTCCTGACTTATTTTGGGGGAAGAAAACCATTAAGGCTAGAAAACACGGAGAGGGGTAGAGAAGACAGCAATGAAAGTGAAAAAGGGAAGTATCAGTATTATGATACAAAACACAAACCAAAGTTACCTTTGGGGTCCTTAATTAGTAAAACCTCTGTATTGTATTGCCAGGCAGACAGAAGGAAGCAAATCTGAAACAGCACTGGCTTCCATTCCACCAACTTACAACTGAGACCCACTTCATCCTGCCGAACCCATTGGCACTGGTCACATGCATTGGCATTGGTCACATGGGTCGTCTTAGCACCTGGGAGGAAGCTGAGGCTAGAGGGTTATTAGCTCGAGTTCATGGACCGCCTGGGCCACAGAGTGAGACCCTCACAACACACCCCAAAATACCAGATATGAACTAAAGAAGTGTCTTTGCTGAGAGGCGACTGTGTTCCTCTGGAAGGCCTTGCACATTCGCACCAACGCTCGGCAGACATGCAGCAGCAGCAGACTGCAGGAGTCCTCTCCAACGCTAAACTCTACCAACCTTCTTTGCAAGCATCCTTTTTGAAGCCTGAGCCTGCATCAACCCGAAGACCTGGGTCTTGTCAGTAGTCCCCTGTAGCATTTAACCTTAGACCACAGGGGTGAACACCTGAATTCTATGCTTTGTCTCACTTACTGGTGTGCTAGAATCCACCAAGACAATCTATGTGCCTGCCCTCTTGCAAAACCAACCTAAAACATGCGGGACCAAGCCTCTCTCCTCCCTGCCCCTTTCCCATACCCTTCTCTTGTCTGAGCTAAAATAACATCAACATCATATTCCAAAATCAAAGTTCCAGCATCTTATTAACGAAAACAAAACAAAACAACTCAGAAGTTAAGATGACCTAGTTTGTTTGGCAGCTTATTGGGAGGCCAGAGGCTCAGAACACAAGCTACATTCCGCCAGCATCTTTAGCAGCAATACCATATTTGGCAATCGATATCCTGATCCACTAGGTTTCTATCCATAGGGATTAGCCGAGTCCCAAACATTTTAAATGGTACAGGATGGTGAGCTGGGGGAGAGAACATGCAAGGGAAAGAGAGGGGGAAAAAAGGAGAAAGACAGAAATGCCATGGGGGGAAATACCTTGTGCTTTTAATTAAAACCTAATAAGATCCCTCTCTGGCTGCAGTAACATGCTATTAAATGCCGTCAGGATGAGCGTACAGCCAAGTGAAGCAGGGACTCCGTGCTGCTCAGAATCAACTTCTGCCCGTCCAGCAAAAGGTTTATCAAACTGCTATGATGAAAAGAAACTTTCTCTTCAAAACACAAATGGCAGCAAGCTTGTGTCGATCAGCAAAAGGCACACTCTAGATGCCAGTATAAACGTGGGGATAAAGAAATTCGTATTTACAAGTCACACAAGGGCAGGCAACACTCTCCAGCAATGCAGATCAGGTATGACCTGGTTAAACAGGGCACCCTGGGTGAGATGATTCAAGGCTACAGATACCAGTGGACCGTTGGTAGTCTACTGTGTATCAGAGAACACAGGAGCAGCTTCCTGAAAGGCTCAGTGCCTGGGAGAGTGGAAGAAAGTATGAAGAACTGTTACCACCCACAGGTTCCCGAAACGCCTGGGCACTGCCACACACACTTCATCTGTCTATTCCTCTGCTGCCTCTATACATAGCCACTATTTACGTTTTACAAGCAGTGTATTAACTGGCCCAGCATCTAATCAGGAATCATACAGGACATTTGCCTGTCACCTGTTTAGTCTCCCTGACATTTTAAGAGTACCTGCCCTTTGTCTTGTAAACGGTTTCTCATTTTACTACTGTGTGTGTGGGGTCTAACTTACATTCAGCATTATTTCAGCGGGCACACGATTATCATTTTGGACCTTCCATTAGTGACAGGAGCTTTGATCACTCCCCCACATCTCCTCTAGTGTAAGGTCACCAATGTTTTACTTTTGAGTTTGTTTCTTTACGGACAGTGTATCACTGAAACCCAAACTCAGAGAGGCCCTACCTCAGCTTCCACAGCACTGGGAATACAGTCATGGATGGGAGCCTGGCTAGTTCTTCCTAACTACTGAGTACTACTAAGGTACTTAGTAGTTAGAATAGTACTCCCTCCAAGCTTTAGATACACCTCGTTTCTCACCAAACCTACCATTAGTGTAAGATGTATCTGATACTGGCCCCCAGTGTGTGTGTGTGTGTGTGTGTGTGTGTGTGTGTGTGTGTGTGTGTGTGTGTGTGTGTGTGTGTGTGTGTGTTGTTTCTGTCTCACTATGCAGCTCTCTCTGGCTATCCTGAGAACTCAATACATAAACCATGCTGGCTGAAACTCAGGGATCCCTTTGCTTCCCAAGTGCTGGGACTAAAGGCGTGTACCACCAAGCATGGCTCGTTCCCTTTCTACACGGTAATTTTCTATTTCCAGGGAAACCTTTCAGTTAGGCCCTTTATGAGTCATTCGCATCAGCAGTGACATACAGGTTCCTCCTGTGTGATTATAATTCATTACTGTATGACGGACGGCCTCATTCTACCCAAACCCTGTCTCAGAGGCTTTCCCATCCATGGATTCAACTGCTTGCAGACTGAGAATATCTGCCATCAAAAAGACAACAACAACAAAAATCTAGAACACAGTCTTAGGAAGGTTCAGAGAGCAGTGTGTGGTGTGCTAGCATCTACTGTCAACTTGACATAACCTGGAGGGAGGTGTGAAGAGAGAGGGACACTGAGTGAGGAGCTGTCCAGATCAGACTGTCTGTAAGAGATTACCTTGATCATGATTGTAGGAAAGCCCAGTTCACTGTGAATGGCAACTGTATACAGGAAAGCTAGCAAGGCTGGATATGGTGGCACACGCCTTTAATCCCAGCACTGGGGAGGCAGAGGCAGGTGATCTTTGAGTCCTAGTCTACAGAGTAAGTTCCAGGACAACTAGGGCAGTTACAGAGAAACCCTGTTTTGAAAAAACCACTAGTTGAGGATCAGGGTTCAGTTCCAACACCTATGAGGTAACTCTCAACTGTAACTCCAGTCCCAGAGTATTTTAGCAACTCCATACCCTCTGCTAGCCTCTGTGGGTACTGCGCACACATGCACAAAATACTCATACACAGAAAATTAATAAATCTGGCTGCGGCCGGGCATTGGTGGCTGGCCTCAAAATCAGAGATACCCTCCTGCTTCTTCCTTCCAAGCACTGAAACAAAAGGCACAGCCAGATTTTTAGTTTCTCCAGACAGGGTTTCTCTGTATTGTTTTGGAACCTGTCCTGGCACTCGCTCTGTAGACCAGGCTGGCCCCAAACTCAGAGATCCACCTGCCTCTGCCTCCCCAGTGCTGGGATTAAGGGTGTGCGCCACCAGCGCTCAGCCGCAGCTCACATACCCCAGAAGAGCCTCCCTCACTGCAGCTGCTTACAGAGTCTCACTGCTAACTAAGTCTGGTAGTTTTTCTGCATTCTAATCAAAACAGAATTACCTTTTTCCTTTCCACCTTTTTATCTCCTTTGGACACTGGCCAGAACCCTAAACAAGCTGCCCAGACACCCCATAGTCTCTCTCCG